GGGGGGGGGGTGGGGGGGGGTTGGGGGGGGGGGAGCTAGGCCAGACTTTTTGGCCCTCCCAAAGAAACACTACTGTATACTCATTATAACCAAGAAAATATCATCATTCCACTGCTTATATTGACTGTGCTACATCTCTGTATTTTCAGGATTGACTTGAAGACTAATGAAGCAGACGTCTATATCAAACTGAAGCAGTGGCAGAGTTTTATTGTCCAAACCTATTTATCCAAACCAAACCAAGTTTCTTTTACTCTTTAAAGGTAGCTCTCAGAAAAAGTGAGTATTAGAGACTAGAGTACTGATACTGATTAAGAAAATCTGACTCCACTTGCCATCCATGAACTGACAAAATTTAGGTCATATAATATTAAACCAAACAATGTTAAATTAAATTAGAGTTGGCCTACTATTTTACTTTAACTAAATACAAAACTATTCAGATCCTACCTTCCTGATAGTAGCAGACATATGTTTGGTATCATAAATTCTAGGTAATATTTGATGAACTTCTTTCTTAAATTCACTGAATGATTCTGAAAGCAAGATACAATTTCATTCAACAAATGTTCAATATTCAGACAAGCACTTATTGAATGTTGGTTATTGGATGGAGACAGATACAAGGTAATCATTACTATGTATAGATCACTAGGGCTGGGTTAAATAAATTCTTAATTTCATGGGTTATATTTGCATCATAGAAGTTTATTCTTGCTAAAAAGAAAACTTCTATGATGCAAATATAACCCATGAAATTAAGAATTTTGACATGTTTTTAATTTAGTATTTACACGGTTTCTCAACTGAATCATTATGATTATTAATCGATTATTGAACGGTACTCCGCCATCGATAATCAATCTCAATTTGATAATCATCCCCAAAATCCATGAGTTAATAATTGTATCCCTAGGGAAGGAGCACAAACTATCAAAGGATGCCAAAATACCTTTATATTTCAAAGTAAGATAATAAAGAATGAAATAATTAATCTACCTGGCAGTGGTTTGTGAAACTTTTCAAACATCAACATTAAATCTGTTAACATATTATGACCTACCACTATCTGAAGTATGAAATCAAAGTGTAAGTTTACAGAACTCAAACCTCTTAAAACAGGCTTTGTATCATAGACTTTGTGTAATCATTTTCTATTCTTTGCCATTTCTTTTAGTGTTATCTAAGTTGCAGTTATCTTACTTATAAAATATCTTACTTTATTATAATCTTGTAACAACCTAAATACTTTTGTAAAACCTAACATAGTCTGTAGTAATCTGAAACAAGAGCAAGTTAGTCTGTTTATAATCTTGTAACAAGCTCACTAATCTAGTAAAACCTAACATAGTCTGTAGTAATCTAAAACAAGAGCAAGTTAATATGTTTATAATCTTGTAACAACCTAACTAATGTAGTAAACCTAATACAGCCTGTATGGATCTGAAACAAGGACAAGTTAGTCTGTTTATAATCTTATAACCTTAATGCTCCAATGAAACCTAACATAGTCTGTAGTAATCTGAAACAAGAACAAATGTTTATAATCTTATAACCTCAATGCTCCAATGAAACCTAACATAGTCTGTAGTAATCTGAAACAAGAACAAGTTAGTATGTTTATATCTTGTAACAACCTAATTAATCTAGTAAAACATAACATAGTCTGTATGTATCTGAAACCAGGCTAAGTGAGTCTGTTCATAATCTTGTAACAACCTAATTAATCTAGTAAAACCTAACATAGTCTGTATGTATCTGACCCAAGAACAAGCGAGTCTGTTTATAATCTTGTAACAACCTAATTAATCTAGTAAAACCTAACATAGTCTGTAGTAATCTAAAACAAGAGCAAGTTAATATGTTTATAATCTTGTAACAACCTAATTAATGTAGTAAACCTAATATAGCCTGTATGGATCTGAAACAAGGACAAGTTAGTCTGTTTATAATCTTATAACCTTAATGCTCCAATGAAACCTAACATAGTCTGTAGTAATCTGAAACAAGAACAAATGTTTATAATCTTATAACCTCAATGCTCCAATGAAACCTAACATAGTCTGTAGTAATCTGAAACAAGAACAAGTTAGTATGTTTATAATCTTGTAACAACCTAATTAATCTAGTAAAACCCAACATAGTCTGTATGTATCTGAAACAAGGATAAGTGAGTCTGTTCATAATCTTGTAACAACCTAATTAATCTAGTAAAACCTAACATAGTCTGTATGTATCTGACCCAAGAACAAGCGAGTCTGTTCATAATCTTGTAACAACCTAATTAATCTAGTAAAACCTAACATAGTCTGTATGTATCTGAAACAAGAACAAGCGAGTCTGTTCATAATCTTGTAACAACCTAATTAATCTAGTAAAACCTAACATAGTCTGTATGTATCTGAAACAAGGATAAGTGAGTCTGTTTATAATCTTGTAACAACCTAATTAATCTAGTAAAACCTAACATAGTCTGTATGTATCTGAAACAAGAACAAGTGAGTCTGTTCATAATCTTGTAACAACCTAATTAATCTAGTAAAACCTAACATAGTCTGTATGTATCTGAAACAAGGATAAGTGAGTCTGTTTATAATCTTGTAACAACCTAATTAATCTAGTAAAACCTAACATAGTCTGTATGTATCTGAAACAAGGATAAGTGAGTCTGTTCATAATCTTGTAACAACCTAATTAATCTAGTAAAACCTAACATAGTCTGTATGTATCTGAAACAAGGATAAGTGAGTCTGTTTATAATCTTGTAACAACCTAATTAATCTAGTAAAACCTAACATAGTCTGTATGTATCTGAAACAAGGATAAGTGAGTCTGTTCATAATCTTGTAACAACCTAATTAATCTAGTAAAACCTAACATAGTCTGTATGTATCTGAAACAAGGATAAGTGAGTCTGTTCATAATCTTGTAACAACCTAATTAATCTAGTAAAACCTAACATAGTCTGTATGTATCTGAAACAAGGATAAGTGAGTCTGTTTATAATCTTGTAACAACCTAATTAATCTAGTAAAACCTAACATAGTCTGTATGTATCTGAAACAAGGATAAGTGAGTCTGTTCATAATCTTGTAACAACCTAATTAATCTAGTAAAACCTAACATAGTCTGCATGTATCTGAAACAAGAAGTTAAAATTATGGGGTTAGTCAAATTGTCATCTGCTATTTTCTGCAAGCTTCTTATTTGGACCAGAGCGTTTGAGTGGTGTCTTGTTTTCTCTCATGAAGACTATGTCATACTAAATCAAATTGTACCTATCATATCAATGTGAACTAGAATATTAGCTTCAAAATATTAATGATATATTTTAACATTCTGTAATTTTTCAATAACAATTATCTGGGAAATTTCATTTTACAAACTTACAAGGATATCAGTCAAATAATATTTTTTTCAGACCTGATTCTTGCCCCCAGTCATGAAATGTCTTTTAGTTTTGCAGACTTAAATAAATATTGAACTACTAACTTTTCCTCTTGTTCCAGTCTATTGGATGAATCTATATCTTGTAATTCTCTTCTTTGTTTTGAACTAACATGTTCCACAATAAACTACATATTAAAAAAATAACAGGCTTAGAGGGATACCGAGAGAACTGGATGTTGGATACTTATTCTGAAAAGAACTGCAAAGAGCTGAAATAACGCTTATCAGAAATAATTAGTTGGAAATTTGTTTTTATATTTTTTGTAAGAAATGTTGACAGTGTTGTGCACTGCATAGATTTTATTAATTAGGAATATCTAAATAAAGGGAGTGGTTAATGAAAAGTATTTAAAGATAGCTTGCCAGGCACTGTAATGAAATATGAAATATTCAACCTTCAGTCATACACTGCTTTTGAATACTTTGGGGCGATACTGAATAATATTACAAAGTTTGTTGAAATACGGCAAGAATCGCGCCTGTTTATGAGCTTAATATTTAACGCGTTTTCAAGAACAAGGGCAATAACTCATGCTAAATAATTTTTGATAGGGTTCATCATTGGTTGATAACGAACACTCACGCGAAGTTTTGTGAAATTCCGTCAAGAATTGTGCCTTCCAGAGTGTTTACAAGCAATTGCGAACGGACCGACAGACGCCAATATGAAAAGTGATCTTAGTGATCGACCAATCAGAATACTGAACAACAAATTGTGATATTCGATCCAGATTCCAATATCTTACCTTGCCCAGCTGATCTTTATGTGTCCATACATTAGGAAATCTGTTCCTTATTTCTGTGTGTAAAACGTAATCTTTTATTTCTCTTGTATCTGTGGAAAGCAATAAAAGAAAGTGTACACATTATAAGCAATTATCATTCATGTATGATAAATCTAGATTTGTGTATGACAAGTGTAGATTCGTGAATGACAGGTGTCGATTTGTGCATGACAAGTGTAGATTTGTGAATGACAGGTGTAGATTCGTGTATGACAAGTGTAGATTCGTGAATGACAAGTGTAGATTCGTGAATGACAGGTGTAGATTTGTGTATGACAAGTGTAGATTCGTGAATGACAGGTGTAGATTTGTGTATGACAAGTGTAGATTCATGTATAAAAACTGTAGATTTGTGTATGACAAGTGGAATCGTGAATGACAGGTGTAGATTTGTGTATGACAAGTGTAGATTCGTGAATAACAGGTGTAGATTTGTGTATGACAAGTTTAGATTCGTGAATGACAGGTGTAGACTTGTGTATGACAGGTGTAGATTTAGTATGTCAAGTGTAAATCTATACATGTCAAGTGCTGATTTGTGTATGTCAAATTTAGGTTCGTGTATGTCAAATTTAGATTTGTGCATAAAAAAGTAGATTCGTGTATGACAAGTGTAGATTCATGTATGACAAGTGTAAATTTATAAATGTCAAGTGCAGATTCTTGTATGAGAAGTGTAGATATATGTATGAGTAGTGTAGATTCATATATTTTGAGAGAATTGATGATTCATGTTTGTCAAGTGTAGATTTGTGTATGACAAGTGTAGCTTTGTGTATGACAAGTGTAGAGTCCAATGCATGACAAGTGTAGAGTCCAGTGCATGACAAGTGTAGAGTCCAGTGCATGACAAGTGTAGATTAATATGTATGACAAGTGTAGATTCGTGTGTATGAAGTGTATGATAAGATCATTTTTTTCTGCATTAAAATGTTTTGAGACAGAATTTATGTAAGAGCAATGCAGTAAAATGTGTCCATACTTTGATCTAATTCTATGAGGAAAACTTCACCGACTTGACTTTTGACAAACCATTCTGCTATATCTGAACATATCTTCTGCAGGACTTCTTCATCTACTTCTCTGTAAAATTCAAATTTTCAAAGTTTTACATCCAAAATTCTGCATCCTGGGGTCAAAATCACGGTTAACGGAATGACTATCTGGGGGGTAGATTCAGGTCTTGAATATATGTAAATAGCTTTCAGAAATAGTCTTCAGAAAAGACGAGTCATCATTTTAACCTTCATTCTGGACACACATGGCACTGTAAGCTCAAATTTCAACAGTGAGCTATGAATAATATGATTAATGATTGGCTTAGCTAAAGAATTCCTTTCAACTTAAGTTATGATTGGTTTGAACATATGGCAAAGGTGTCCCTTAAAATTGATTTTAGTGATTGTTCAATCGAATGACTGAAAAAATTAAACGATGTTAAGTTCGGTTTTTGTTAAAATGTTCCCAGTAAGACATTTCAGGATGCAACATTTTTGTGGTTTGCCTGTATAACTTTAGCTTTCCTACCTCTCTAACCCAGAAAACATGGTGTTTTTAGCCAGGTGTTCTTTTAATTTCAACTCTTCATCTCTATTCAAATATGATACACCATCATATACAAACTATAAAATATGAAACACATGGTCACAGATTTATCTGGTGTATTCTGAACTATCTAGATAATGGTATAAAAGAAGAGTTAATACTGAACAAAATAGAGGAACAATTTTAGATATCTTTTTTTTTAAATTATAAGCAAACAAAGTTTACAAAACAGGATTACTCTATCTATTAACCTGAGTTGAAAGTAAAGAATGTCACTAAAATCCATACATCTGAAGAGACATATGACTTTTTTTTTATGTAGAAGCTGGCCCAAAGAACTCCTTGAACATAAACAGGTGCACTTACTATGCTACTTACTTACATGACGATATGAAATGTTACCAAGTGAGATCAGATTACATTAGAAGTGGAATTCTTTCAGAAAATAAGCTACAATTCTTCATAAAGAGATAGAGTTTGAAGCAACCTTACAAGAACGGCTAAAAGTTTAATAAAAGTATGTGATCTTACCTTGTTAAAATCAAAGTTGTATCGACACAGAAAGGACAAACTTGATGCCTAAAAGATCAAATTTTATTAATTTCAGATTTTGGAAATACATGTAATAACATAATATTCAAGGCTAGAATTTTTAAAGCTCTTCTCAGAAGGCTTAAGTTATGATGTTGGCTGCAAATTAAACCCTTTTTTAACATTTCTTCAAAAAACTTACAATTTGTAACATGGCATAAAATGAGCTTTTTTTAGATTTCTGAACTTCCTACTTCATCTCAACTTTTTATTTCACAAATATTCAAATCTTCTAATGTCTTGGAATTTATATTGGAACGTCTATGGATCACATAATCTCTCATGTCAAATGAAATATAGTAATTGACGTCTGTCACATCAAATTTATTTTCAAAAGAAATCTTTTCTCTGTTTACTATTTGAATCAATACAAACACAATCAAACCTCGCAGTACCAATAAATGATTTAGTTAATTTTTATTTTTGAAAATCATTTTTTTCCTAAATTTCATACTAACCTGACATTTAAATCTGACATCAAAAGAACCAAATGCTGTTGGAAATAAATAAAAGTTGAACGTGTGGGCTTCATATCTGAAAATTTCAAGAATGATTTATTTTTTCAAATAATATAGAATCCAATTGGCAATATCTATAAATACTTCATACAATAATACAACAGTAGGGACGCAGGCTGAAAATAGATCAGATGTCTGAAGATTTCATAGCATGAAACTCTAAGTAACAACATGTTTTTTTTAGGTTCTGGTTATAACATTTCTAATATTCTTTGATAAATTAACCCCCATTGGGGTTTTTCCCCCTCTCAACCTCAGGCCTGTGAAAGGACGGTGGCCTCTTAATGAAATTTTCCGAGGCCACCCGCAGAGAGATACCTCTCATTTTACACTACATTACAGAGTACTATACCTGTAGGATTCTTTATTTACAAAAGCAGATATTCCTGAAAAATAATTAATTAAAAAAAATAGTTTAATATCATTGCAACTTCTATGAAAACAATACAGGAACAGAAAAAAGATTTTCACCATTCTAGAGACTTGAATAACAGTTATTATTACTCTCAGGTATTTCTACAATGCACTTTCTGATTTTTTTCAGAAAGTTAGTTAGATCTGCCAATTACAGATAGTCAGTTCTGCCTATTTCAGATAGTCAGATCTGCCAATTTCAGATAGTCAGATCTGCCAGATCTGACATTGAGATATGCTAATTTCAGACATTCAGATCTGCCACTTTCAGTCAGATAGTTACAGATTATATCAGATGTATGTATGGTAAAAACAGAAGACAAGAATGAACAACTGCTGTTGAAACACATTCTAACATGTTTGACAAGATAAATGGTTAAGGGAAAGTAAATCAAACTTGTAAGGTGCTCACCAATCTGAGACATGGTAAACTCAGAGACATTTTTCTTTAACTTTACATATCTTTCATCACTAGTATCAAATAAACTGAAACACAGAGATATGTTAATATCACTATTTGTATTAGATATTAGTAGCCCCATCACCTTTGTCTCCGCCGCAAAGCGTCAATGAAAAAATAAGAACCCATAAAAAAATTTTTCTAATAAATTTTTGAGAACAATATTGTGAGCCGCAGTTCACTTTTGCAAATTTTCTTCTGTAGTTACTATTAAGCCTGGAAAATCAATTTTCAGTGACTTCAAATGCATTTAATATGCAATTCATGATGTAAATTGGGTAACAAAATATGAGCACCAAAATCGGCTTTTCAACCCACCTAGCTTTGGTTGTTTCATCAAGTTGTAAACCAGTAAATTCTGTATCAATGGCTGAAATCAGAAAATATAACCCAGTGAATGTACACATTTAATACATAGTATGAAAGAAAATGAGTTATTGAGGATACATCTTATATTGTCTACAAGTTGATGTTTAGTGGCTGTAGGCCTACGTAGCCCCTTATGGTTTGTAGGTTTGTAATGCAATCCTACCCGGTAAGCATGGATGTAGATTTTGTGTTTTTTACCTACAAATTCACAATGTCTTATGACTGTCTCTATTAAAGGGAAGATAGAATCTATGTTCGATCTTAAAACTTCACACATATTATACAGTTAAAGGCTTGGCACAGTATTATTTGTGTTTTTTCTGTCACAAATCGAAACGCGGACTGAAAAAACGAAAGTAGAGAAAATTCATGAGTTATTTCCCTTATTGGGAAATTATCCAATCAAATCATTCGATTTTTTGTTTACAACAATGGCGGACATTATAACCAAGTGTTCTTGATAATTTTACCTGTTAATATTACTGTTTATGATTTTTAAGTATTTGTTTAGTAAAACTCCTAAAATGGGTGTTGAACTATCTGCTTTTATAACATTCTTATGTTTTATCTCCTTTACCGCTGGTCAAAGTAAGTATGATTAATGTTACTTTTTGTAAAACAAGATTGTGCATGCCGAATCAAAAAAGCCATCAAAATATTTTTAAAGCTGATTTGTACAACTACAAGGCAAAAAAACGTTTGTTAGGTCCTAATTAGAACATTCAATTAGATACTTTTGATGATATAAGGCAAGGTTTTATGGTTATTTAAGACTGTAACATACCATAAGAAGTATGAAATTAATTTCCCATGACCATTATAGTCTATAGATAGTTATGGCAGACTACAACACATATCTTTTAAAATTGCTTTTTGCAGTAAAGAACTGCTCCAAACCTAATATTAACCCTCACAAAGATCTAAAAAGCAGGACTTGGATGCACTCTATCCAACAAAATGCAAGATATGCCATGGCCATCCCAAATGAAATGAAATGAATGGAGTTTTACGTCCTACTTTTCTGCACCATGGCCATCCCAAGACCTGTCGTTTAACCTAAAGATGTCATTACCAATACAAACTTGTGAATACTTTATGCATATTAGTTAGGTTAACAAGCTATTATTTTTCATTGATAGGTATTGGTAAAATCATTATTGATGGATTTGGAGATGCTGGTTCTATATTGTCTAATAATTCAGACTACAGATTATCTCTAAATGAAACTGCTTTAAGATACTTACATGTTTCAATCCAAATTCAAGATAGCAATGATCAAGATGTGCCTTTAAATCAACAGGTAATAGTGTTTTTGTTCTTTAGCACTCTAAAATAATGTAGCACAGGTATTTTTATGATGACAATCTAAATAGTTTTTGATTAATTTTTCATGCTCACACAAGTGTCCATTATCAATTATTATGAATTTTAAACACATTACAGTTTTGATTCCAATTTAACAAATTTTGTATGCTTCATTGCTTACATGTAAATTGTCCATCATAGCTGCTATTGATGATTGTTGTCAGATGCTTGTTGACCTTTCATTTTTTATTTCAATAGATACAAGTGACGTGTGAACAACAGACTTATCGGGCTGGTTACAGTAAAATTAATTATACAGTTATCAATTTTAATGTTGGTGGCCCAGTTACAGGACAAGTGCAAATAATGTTAGTATATAGATAGATCTTTTCATGATGTCATAAAGCCTGATCTGTTCTGTCAGTAAATGTATTATTTCAAAACCAGTTGTTATGGATCAACAAATATAAAGATATAAAGAGATTGGAAAACATTTTCTAAACTTGTTATGTGTATAAGGACACAATTTACAGTCATATGTCTGTGGCTCTCGCAATTCCACTAAAAGTAAGTGTTTTATGACGCCACTATCGCAAAAGCTGCTATTGATAAACATATGATAAGGACCTTAGTGATAGTGACATCTTAAAATTCATAGTATAAATGGAATTTCAAGAACCACTGATTGATAAATGAACAGGTGTCAATCAATGCTATAAATGTCCGGTATATATGTAAAAGTTTAGTTTTAATACCTCTTTATAACTTCCAAATAGCAACAGCTGCATGTATTTTCTATGGAGAATGTCGTCAAAATGTTACATATATAATCATATGATTTGAATTAAGTTTTAGCTTGAGCTACTGTCTTTACACTTTCATTGGTAAATCAAATTACCAAATTATTCTAAGACTATTACTACTGTTTAAAAGGGGTAGTTGGCAAACTTTTCATTTCTGGTATCAAAAACTTCATATATTAATGTTGAAAATATTTATAAAATATGCTTTTTACATTTATGTATCTACTTGATCAAACTGAATTTGTTTATAAGGTTTTGTCAAAAATGGAGCATACTAATTTCCCATTGATGCTTCTTGGGAAAGTTTCCTACTATCTATTTCTCTGTAGTATATTTAGGCATGAGGTTTCAACAACCGTTTAATTCCGAATATAATATAATAATTTAGTTTTTACCCCAAAATAGGTCCCTTCAAGATTTTTTTTCCCTTTTGTCTGCCTTCGTTTCCATGTTGTTATTTTTATAAGACCGTTTAAGGAGTTTGGAAATTACTAAACTGAAATAGGTATATTAATTAATTCCATAAAGAGAGATGTTCTACAGAGGTAACAAAATATGATGGCTTTTATAGTAAGAATAACGAATGTCATGCTTGGCAGAATGTCTGAAATTGTTAGGAAATCCATTTAATTGGCACTAATTGTTTTTTATCATTACAGTTCTGTAGAAGCAGGAAGACCTGTCACAGTAAGATGTTATGGTGAAACAATTCCACCATCTTCTTCTCCAGAATGTCCTCAATCTTCAACATCCACAGTCCAATTCTGTAAATCCACTTCATATAGTAATACAGTGTAAGCATCATTTTCTGTAGAATAAATTTTCATGAACTGCTAGCCTGTGGTACCATAAATTCAAGATATTGGAAATTATGATTATCTGATATTATCTAAATGAATTTCATAAATGGCCACTTGGATGACTGAAACACTAAATGAAGGGATATCATGTGATAGGAGAAAAACCCAATGATCAAGATAGACATTGTCTCAAAAGGTTCTATAAAGGACTGCTTGTAGAGCTGAAAGTCTGTTGTTAAATATTCATGATTTTTTGTTGTTGTTATTTTTAGATCTCTGGCTTTGCAACCAGCTCCAATTGTCAGCTTTTGTCAAGATCCTATCCAAATATCAAATACTGTTGCAGGAACTTTCAATGTGAGATTAAGGTAAGGGAGGAATTGGTTTATCCTGAAAATTTTATTTATCAGTTTTCATTGTACAATTTTTTTTTTGTGTTACAAATATTTGATATATGCCTAAAAACTAACAGCCACACTGACACTTGCACAAATTCTGTTTGCTCTATGACATGTTTTTCAGTGTGCCAATGATTAAAGTCTTCCTGAACTAGTGAATGTGCGTTGGGTGCTTGGGTTTGAGCCATGTCATTGAAAGAATTTTGGAACATTGAAAAAAGTTTTCGCACCATACGAATGCCACTTATTTATCGCCTGCATGAACTCAGCGCAAATTGGGACAGTGTTTTTCTTGAACATAGCGTGAACTATGCGCAAAAAATACTCAGTTTATGGCTATACTTCTGGCAAAATCTCTCTTAATGCAAGATGTTATTGACTAGTTGAGACAATAATCTGAAGTGCCAGATTGCACATGTGAAAGATCCCAAAATCTATTCATTTTCCACATTCTTTTGATGTGATTTCAGTGAAGCTGTAGTTGATAGACCAGTTGCAGTCACTTGCTCTGCAACCACTTTTGTACCAGGTGAGTAAATGCAGCAAAATAGTCATTAAGGATTTTGTTGCACTTGATGGGAAATATGAAGAAATCAGTAAGAGTGGAGGATACCTGTTTCAAACTTGATGCAAAACATCAAGATTTTTGTTGCTTGATTTTGTTCTTTTTGAGTGGCAGTTTTCTTTTTGAGTGGCATATTTTTTTAGATACAACACAATATAACTCATTAAGATTTTCTGTTTGTGGACATTGTGGACAATAAAGATGTCCTAGACAATTCAAACTAGGTACATATGAAAGATATAGTGAATGTTAAGGATATTTTTCAACATTTGTTTTTTTCCTGTTTTAGGTTCTATAAATTTAGACATAGCATCTGTTGATGCTCCAATTGGTGCCACTGAAGTTCAGGTTAGTATGAAGATAAATCAATGTGCAGCTTAATCTGATCACATTCAAATAACTTTTAAAACAAGATCTAGTATATTATCAGGGTATTATGTTATATTATAGGGTATATTATCATGTTTATTATTAAAGTATAATATGTCTATATTCTAGATGAGTTATAGAGTAATATCAAGAGGTAATGATATCAGTATAAGATGTAGTGGTGCATCACGTAATGGTGGTAACCAATATGGAACAGATACATCTATAAGTAAGTCTTTGATTTTAACTTATTAAAGTCAGAAAGTCAAGTGCTAAATGAGGTCTGTGTTTGGATGCTTAGAGAGGTTAATAAAGCATTTGGAGGTAATTAGTCAAGTCCTAGCAAGATATTTATAATATTTTCAGGCACAACATCAACTGCCAGATTTACAGAAAAAACTGGTACATTTGAGATTATTCCAGAATTTACTAGAATTTATACCACTTCATTAAAAGTAAGGTATACATTTTTTTGCCAGGATTTAAACTGTTGAGGGATCTGTAACAAGAACAACCTGTAGCACACAGTATGTCTGTTTATTGTCACATCCGAATGACTAGATACTTTTACCATGTCAGCTCGTCCGACCTGCATCACTGACAGGGTGAAACCAGGCTTAAAAATGAGGTGATAAATACTAATGTTGTAATACAATGATGGTAAACATTATGATATCCATTCCACTTCATATTGTACAGCTCTAAATATTGAAGAACCTGAAGTATGTTTTTTTATTCAGAGTTTCACATTGTGTGATTTCCACACAATTCAAAAACCCTGAGTAATAATATGTTTCAGGTTTCTGTATTAGTATATCTAAACTGCTCTATAATTGATATACTGAATACAGTGAAAATATTTGTGACTTTTATTTTAGGTATATTTAAAGTTGGATCGTCCTGTTGATACTACTGGTGATGTCAGTGGTGTATGTCAAACTGTTATGACAGAAACATTAGAAGAAGCTAAAGTTATATATAGTGATCCTGTCTGTACTGTAATTACAAGCACCCCTTCTTCAAGTCAGTATTCTGTTGTTATTTGTTGTTATTTGTTATTATTTGTTATCTTAATGCAGAAATAAATCAACTAAACTGATAATCCCCCTTTGGATACCAGTCATGAGAATTTTATATCTGAATTAATTTGACAGCTGAAAGTGTTCTTTAAGACCTGATATTGAATTGTTACTTTTCATTTTGAAACCAGTTGTCCTGATGAGCTGCAATGTCCGAAACATGGGTCTGCAGCATTAAAGGGATTGTAAAAGGATTTCTGACATATGTATTGAGGACACTGATAGCATCAAGTTGCACTATTCCTATTTCCAGTCACTATCATAAAAGGTTTAATTTTAGTGGAATTGTAACAGTCACAGACATCTGACTGAAAATTGACTGATGCAAATCAATACTATCAGTGTACTTAATATACATTAAAATTGAGAACTGTGATTTACTAATCTTTATTATTTATTATCCTTTTTTACCTCCATCTTTTACCTTGGAAATGATTGTGGTAAGTGTTTAAGTAAATAGTTGAAAAACTAAACCTAACAATTTTTTTATTAAGTACATCTGTATGCTTCAAAGTCATTCATTTAAACGGACATAGTTACCTTAATACATATACTAGCTTAATTATTCTAGGTTTTCCTATCACTGATTAAAATTAAAATGCAACATCAAGTTTGTCTAAAATCGAAATACAAAGGTTGGGTAATTTTGACTGTTGTCATTCGCTCCAATTACAGGGGAATTGGTTTTACCCAATGTTGGCACAACACTTTTAACAACATCACACATATACACACCTGCATGGGTCCATGCGTCAGACATTGCTATTGTTTTGATAGTTATAACAAATTTGTTTGATATTGCACATACTAAGCAGACACTAATGTTTTTTGTTATAATTTTCTAGTCTAAATTACAATAGCATTAGTATAATCAGAAGGTGCTTAGGAGTAATAGTTTTTTCATAACTTTATTGTTTCTGCTAATTTTCTTTTTTTCTTTTTTTGCAAAGGTCACTTTTTGAGGGTTCTGATTTTTCTTGAAAATTTTCTGTTCAATTAATTGAAAGTAATCTACAATCATTACATAAACATGTAAATGATCTTGGGTGAAAAATTATCACCTTTGTGAATATATAGAAATAAAGTGAAAGACAAATTTGTTTGAAATTCCTAAATATACTGTAAAACAGGATTACTCTTGGAAGTTAAGACTACTTAATATAATTTCTAAAGGTCATCACTGTATATCTGTTCACATTGCAACTTCCAATGCTGCTTATTTTAACTTGGTACGATGCCAAAAGGTATATTAAAATGGCAGAAATTTAATTACTTTAATTTGCAACATATATATATTTGTGTTGCTTAGACTGTTAAAACAATAATTTCTGTATCTATTTCACAGAAATATGTAGCCCAGACATAATGCTTTTCGTGTTTAGTATTTGATATTTGAATTTTAGGTGAACCTACTACTACTACAACTCAACCTACAACCACTCAACCTACTACCACTCAACCCACAACCACTGAATTCATAAACTCAACTGATTCTCTGAACTCAACTGATTTGCCAACAACTACTACTGAATTGCCAACAACAACTACTGCTATACCAATAGATTTAACATCACCTTGGATCATTGATGAGGATGCCTTTCAGTTTGAGGTAGGAAACCTTTGTTTTTTTTATGGCAAAAGAGTGAAGATTTCTGTGAATATGGTGAAAATTTGTTACTACATATGTTGTTTTGTGTCTGCTCCTATGGGTTAAATCAAATGCAGCTTACAAACTTGTGATCTGAAGTCATTGTTTTAATTCATGTCTGTCATGTGTGTTGATTTAAAAAAGATTGCTTTTGTCTGTCGTCTGCTTTGAATACAACATTTTTGTGATGAAACTATTAGTTTATGACGTTTGAATTGTACGGAGCCCCTAAGGCGCAATTGTAAACATATTTATTTATTATTTCGTTTAAACGAAATAATTAATTCGTTTAAACGAAATAATTAATTCGTTTAAACGAAATAACATCATTTATTTCGCTTAAACGAAATAATAAATAAATATGTTTACAATTGCGCCTTAGGGGCTCCGTAGAATTGCTTGTGGACGTGATGGTCATGCGAGATAAAATCATGTGTTCATTGTCCATTATAAGTGGTAAACTAAAAACCTCCATGTAACACTGTTTTTTGTGTGTTTAGTTTTATAGAATAGACATCTATAGGAAAATATTGAACACTCAAATCAACCTAAAATGGTGCATCTGTCCCTTTAAATGAGTTTTGGAGAGTAAGGCCCCAAATTCCGCTTTAATCATTGTGTGTTTATTAGTGTTGAAACGCTTATGCACCGGGTAATCGTCGGCAATAACTGTTTGTTACCCGGTTAATTACTAAAGATTATAAAAGGCGTCAAAAACCGATTACATTGTCACTGCTACAGTCTCTGACAGATAAAAGGTTTTTATACCAGTTGTGAGGTCAGTGCAATGAGTGTATCTCATTATTTACTAAAGAAAACAGCTTAAAGACTCATACAGTGACAAAATTTCTGTCAAATTTACTCTCTTTTTAATTCTTATAAAATTGACGGTTAACCGATTATCTCAAATCAGACCCGGTTACCCGTGAAATACTACCCTAAATCGGTTTCAACACTAGTGTTTATCTTAATTAAATCAATTAAGAAAATGGACATACCACAGCTTTTGATATTTTATGGTGTCATGGAAACATGTATGCCTATTTGTCTATTTTTATATTATAGAGAGGTGAATATTATAAATCGATTGTGTCCCGAAGATTAAAACCAGTAATAGGGGATATCGTAGAATATGTGGTAGTAAAATGCTGTACCAGTTCTCCTCCTACCATTTCCTCTTACACTTCCCAGACAGCTGCCGTGATAGCAGAAGTGAGTTTGACACTGGACGTCTGCTCTGATTGTATTGGTGGAATAAGTAAGTATTGGTTTGTAATTAAAAAATGATATGAACAGTAATTGTGTAAAAAAAAACAAAAAAACTAGCAAAGTCCCAGTTTGTTATCGAAATGTCAATTCTTTTAAGTCCCAGTTTGTTATCGAAATGTCAATTCTTTTTTTTTTTTTTTTTTTTTTCTCGAAATTTCCACAGGGCACACAGCCTAAGCTTCAATAGCTACATCAATATTTCTACATGTGTAAACCTTCTGCAGTGGCAACATTGTTAATGAATATGAATTGGAACATTTTTGCAAAACCGTAAGTGCCACAGTGCAACATATGCAAAAACCCGTAAATAATTTGCTCTAGAAGGCGCATTTTTGCATCGATTTTCTGAAATTTAAAATGCAAAGAGACATCAATAAAGTCAATGATATGATACAGTCAGACTTTTGACGTCACTTCCGGTTTTGAAGGTGGAATGAATTGAAAGTACAATCAACTTCCGGTCGAATAACTTCCGGTGTAAATGAAATAGGTCAACGGAATTTATGCAGGTCGTAAGTAAATGCTAATACAAAAAAACGAAGAATATAAAATCCAGACTGGAAGTGATACTTTGGCCGCCATCTTGATTTTGTAATTTTCTTAAAATCGAAATAAGTCCTTAGGGATAAACTAAATCTGCATAAATTTGTTGTCGATGTAATCTGCTGTCTAATGTTCACAAAATATTGCGAGCCGATTTTTGAATTTTGCTTTTGCATTTTCGCAACTTCCGGTTGAATTTTTTCAAAGTTTGAAAGCTTATTTCTTGTGACCTTGACCTTTGATGACCTTGACCTTCATAGGGTCAATGGTCATTGACCTTGGCTATCATTTGATACTTTGACCTTTGACCTCCGACATGTACTTCTGGTTTTATAGCTATCCGTAAAAGGCCAAATTCGCAACTTTGGACTGCTCTAGCACGTGACCTAATTAACCTAGAGGGTTAATTTTTCTCAGTTTCCTAATGTGCTTCTCATGCACTTTACATAGATATAGAACAATTGCTTTTTCAAAGCAAAATTGAAATTCGTGATTTTTTCAAATTTGAGGGTTTTTTTTACCATATTTGCGTCTTTTTGATCTTGGTGTATGTATATCTTATGAACTATTTTATGTAGAACCTTGATATTTGGAACACAACTAGACACTTTAAATATGAATTCACCTATGACCCAAAAATTGGGGTGGGCGTGGCACATCCGGGTTGAATTACTAATTGTTTACATTTTGGGGCTGGGGCATAACTCGCATAGGATACGTTTGTTAAAAATGGGGCTTTGCACACAATTACCTCATCCTTTTGGCCAGTTTGTGTTTACAGCTCAGCTTTATAGTTCCAAAAAAGGAACGGGTTTTAACATTTGGATATTTTCATATTTCCATTTTGACCTTTGTTGACATTTGTTGACCTATATCTTTTGACTTAAATAATGTAGAAGCTTGAAATTTGAAACACAACATAACTTTTGGAATATCAATTACCGTATGCAAAAAAAGTTAAGGTGGGCGTGGCATATCCGGGTTATATTACTCATTATTGATATTTTTGGCCAGGAGCATAACTCGCAAAGTATACGTTTGTTCAAAATGGAACTTTGCATGCAATCATCTCATGTTTTGTGCCACTTTGTCTTAGAAGTTCGGTTGTTTCTGCTTCATAGTTCAAAAAAAGGAACAGGTTTTGGAAATTCCAAATTTTCAATTTTTGACCTTGACCTTTGTTGACCTTGACCTTTGTAGGATCAAACGTCATTGGCATTGGCTATCTATTTATACTTTTATATTTGCTGTCTTATGTCAACTTCCGGTTTTATAGTCGTGTGCATTTAGAAATTTTGATGACGGATATCTCTTGATCTTGACCTTTTTAGACCTTCTCCTTTACAAGATCAAAGGTCATTGACCTTGGCTATCTGCTGATACTTTCATTTGTGAGGTCTGATGTCTACTTCCGGTATTAGAATCTTATAAAAAATAAAAAATTATCAACTTTAGACTTGTTCTTGCGCTTGACCTAATTATCGTCGATGGTTGATTTTTTCAGGATCTTTAGCAAATTGCTACATTTGCAAAGTCCCACTCTGTGCCACGAGTGGCTCTAGTTATTATTTTTATTTTTTAACTTAATGTGTGCTTAATCATTAGTGCTAGTGAACCACGCCTAATATCTCTATAAAAATGATCTCATACATCATAAGGACCATCAAACCAAAAAATGGTTCCAGGGGCAGGTCCTTAGCGCCCACTGTGCTTACTCTCAATAACATTGAAAGGAAATTAATTTTTATACCACTGTTACAGCTAGCGGTGTAAGAACAGAAGAAAGAAGTATAAGTAATCCTGCCTTTGTGGAAGTATCACCTTGTTCCTGTGATATAATTTATCGATCTTGTGATGTTAATTGTTGTTGTGATACAGTAAGTAATCGTTTTAGTGATGTTCATTGGTGCAATGATAGGCAGGTTTTGAGATATAATTTATGAAGTTTGTGATGTTAATTGTTGTTGTGATATGGTAAGATATGAAAATAAATTATCAATCTTGTGATGTTCCTTGATGCTGTGATACGGTAGGTTTTGTGATATAATTTATAAAGGCTGTGATGTTAATTGTTGTTTTCATAAGGTAAGTTATGTAATATAAATTATCAAGCTTGTGATGTTCCTTGATGCTGTGATACAGTAAGTTTTGTGATACAATTTATAATGCCTATGATGTGATTGTAGTTGTGATTCAATAAATTATATGATATATTTTATAAAGCTAGTTATGTTTTTGTTGCTGTGATATTGTTAATTATGTGATAACTTATATCTTTTGAAGTTTTTCAAGACATCAAGCATGACTTAATACCTTGTTACTTTTAGAGCATTGTTTTAAAAACTAGTTTTTTGTTGTTGTCAGGAATGCACTGAAGATTTAAAAGAGACATTTAGCAGTTGTATATCAGGTCCTCCGGGTGGATTACCTCCCCCTGTTCCAGACAGGATGTGTACTTCCCAGAAGTCTCTGAAAGAAGACTGGTCACCACTGCTGTGTGTGGTTTTTGAAGAAAACAGCTTTTTAGGGTTGTACCACACCAATCAACCCAAAATTACTACAGATAATGATTTTAAAGATAAAGTTAACAGCAAGAAAAACCTCTTTGAATTGGGGTAAGGTAGACTGCTATGAATCATACCCAATTATGCACAAATATCTTTGTTGGACTATAATTTTGGGTAATTTCCATTATTTCCTGCAAATATCTTTATATGTCTAAATTGTTACAAAAGGCTAGGTACACATAACTTTTCATGTGACAATTCAATTTTTAAAGCCTGCAATATATTTCTTTATTTACTTTTAATTATAGAAAGTCTGAAAGGCGTTTTACAGATCCCAATGCTGCACTGAAAGGCTATGTTCATGGCGCCGATATAAGAACCAAAAGAGCAGACATTACTCTGTCAGACAAGGGAACTCTTGCACTACCTCAAACATCTGCTAGTGGACAATGTGTTCGCACAGCACCAGTTCAATACCTTAAAGAGTTCCAAAATGACTGTGTGACTACCATTTCACCAGAATTCTGCACTATTACTTCCATTCTGAGTGCCAGAGTTTACTCTGAACCTTCTAGTATTTTTAGACCACCTTGTCCAGAAGGGTTTGAAATATGTGAAGGATATGGAACTGATGTGCTATCTCCATCCTATGTAAATTATTATTGCGCTAGTGACAGTTATATCCAAAATTACTTAAAAGGATCAACATCCTTTGAGAACATCATTCAGCCAAATCAGAATTGGACTTTCAACTCCAAATTAGGAAATGAGGATTGTGGAAATCCATGTGAAAATCCTAATTGTGTTAGTTATAATACTGAACATCAAGTTACAGCATTACCTCTGCCTCCCAGGTGTGCTTGGGATAATGGCTACACACGTGCACAGACACCTCAAGTTGTAGGTGATACATGCCAAAATTCTGTAATTGATGTTCGATACAGATTTACATGGAAAGGACAAAAAATAGTTCAACTTGATGCAGACATCATTTTGGGAACAATACCAGTAGTGACATCTACAGACCTTACACAGTCATTTAAAGTTGACTTTACCCAGGATGCCAGTGGTATAAATAATAGTACAGATAACTATAATAGACTAGAAGTTAAATATGATAGATCAGGACATCCAGGTAGATGATAAAATACATTTTTTATAATTTTTTGATCTAGTGTAAAAGCCCTTTGCAACATTTTAAAATGTTTCCTTTTCCAGATTTTGCAAGATTACATGATTCTGGTAGTTCATAGTCCGATTGTTTGGCATTACATGCATTTTAAAACGGCATTGATGACATCAAATATATTTGAGGAAGATAAAATTCATTAAATATATTAATATATATTAAATGCAAAATTATGTGTCAGAATTATCACCTGATGGTTTTAAAGCTAAGGACTATATTCCGACATTGAATTTTTAAATATTCAAATATTAAGTACATTCAACTTTATGGAAACTACTTACAATTTTCAAATGTATATACCCCAAGATAGAACTTGTATTGTTATAATGTTTCTAGGCTATGAAGTTGGTAAAGAGATATTCAGTGGATGTTATAACTCTACTAGTGATGTAGTTGATATTGATGTTACTAAACAAATGGCTGTGTGGAAACCAGGTAGATTGATACAAGTCTAATAAAAATAATAGATGAATATAGACCGATTTCTATTTGACAATTTTGATATCAATGCACATCCCTGTATATCTTGGATTGCAAATAAAGACATCTGAAAAAAATATCTGTTTAATGATGGAGTCACATGTCTCCTTTAAAAGGTTCTTTTTGTTTAACTTTATCTAGGTGTTGATGGGCTATGTTATAATGCTGGAAGGCAGAGTATAACATTTGGTGAAGATACATCGTCCAGCTGTACTCTAAGACTTGGTTTAACACAGATAAATAATTGTGAAAATCTGAGGTAATTTGTTATTGGACACTTTAATTATGGAAGTTTCACAACAAACATCAACATTTTTTTGGACAGACTGTGGTTAGAGCATTGGATGGAACAAATAGTGCTTGTAAATTCCAGTCTTTTTCATGAAAGCTCATTGACCTTAAATAAGTCACCATTCCTTATTACTTGTATGCAACTTGATTTTATATGGGTAAAGTTAAGGACCAATGCCACAAGGCTTGGCTAAGGACCAGCTGGTAGAAAGGATCCCAAAAAATTGTTGTCATCCTTGTAAAATATGGCTGTTTCTGTTATGACAGCTTGTGAACTGTGAGATGTCATCTCAAGAAATTCTTTAACTGCTGCTTTAACAAACTCTTTGTCCAAATTTTGTTTCTTAACTTTTTTTATTTCTTCTTTTCAGGACTTTAGTTTACAATCATCTTAACACATTGATGCCATCAAATGTTCTGGGTAGACAAGGCTACAATGATCCTAACAACCAGACATTTTGGGTTCAAGTTCTTAGGTAAGTGTTTCAGTCGGTCTGTCTGTCTGATTCCCCAAATTTAAGATGAAACAAGCTCATCTTAATGTAAAACTGTATCTTAATGACCATAACATTTTTGACCTCATCTAAAAGCTTGATATATGTTTGATAAAATAATATAAGTTAACATGATTTGATGATGTTCAATGCCTAGTTATTATAAAAGTTATTATACATGCAAATCATCGTGTCCCACTAGCCAGCAGATTGTAATGGGAAAGTCATTAGCCACCATTGATCTCATTTGTAGTACTGTGCCAATGATTTTGTAATGTTTGTAGAATATATTATGTCCTGTGCTTTTTCATATAAGTCCTCTCTAAATACTCTATCAAAATTTTTTACAGACAAAATATTACTGAGTTACTTAACAAGTCATCAAGTGATATCAATAAAACTAATATTACCAATTCTACAGTATATCCTGGAGAGAGTCTACAAGGTATTTGTACAGATTTGACCACTGGTATACATCTAGATATTCTGTATGGAGAAACTGGTCAAGGCAATGGTTATCCTATACAGGAGATAGTTGGTGCTAGGATAAGGTCAGTTACTTCTACATCCAACTGTAAATTTATATGTAACTGAAAGATATGTTGGAAAGTTTGTCAATATTAACTCATTATAAACCAATTGTAAAATTATTGTCAAGAAATGTGTCAATCGAGAATCAAAATAGAGCTATATAGGAATTCAAATAGAAAGCTCTAGGGTATTATATCTTTTTTATGTGTTTCTAGTCCATTCAAATTTTCTATTAGATGTTAGAGGTTTAAATTTAAAAAAAATGCTTAAGCATATATGACATCACTATTGCAAAAGCTGCTGATAATTTTGTGATAGCTATATCACATCATAAAACCCTTAGTTATAGTGTTATTTCGAGAACAACAGAACACAGAAAAAGTTAAGAATACCTCCTCACAAGCCCTGAAAGGTTCAAACATAAAAATGATATTTTATTGCATTCCAGCTACACAATAGATGATTGGCAGTTATCATGTAGTGGTAGTAACTCTGTTAGGTGTCAAAATAACAGTAACTTTGTTGAAACATTTTTATTAACTAGTAGTATACAGTACATCAAAGTACCAGCTAATACACCAGTTAAACAGATTAAGTACGTACATTTTAATATGGTTTGTTCAGTGACTGTGCCAACCTCTTGGTACTAAGGGTACAAATAGGGGGCAGACTGGCTCAATTTGCTCCAGAGATAATACGTTTGCATTTTTTTTTACCTGGTTTCATCCTGTCAGTGATAAGGATGGGACAATAAACACAAGCTCGGTACAGTAAAAGACATTAGGATGCTAATGAAAGCTAATGCTGCTTTACTGGCAAAATTCCTGTCATTGTATACTGCATATTGTAGCTTGTCTTCATGTAGAAATTTGAAATCCATTTCATTTGATCAATATTTTCTTCATTTCAGATTTTGGACAGTTTATTCAGATCCAAGTTGTCAAACAGATGCCTGTCAGAGATATTATGAGAATTTTGATAGATCAACGTGCCATTATGATACATGTTGGCATGAACTGTTTTATCCACTCAGTAGTTCATATACAGCTGATTCTGCCATGTATGCCTTAGGATTTACATTAGTTACTGTGATATTTGTTATAGCTTACTATATGATAGGACAGGAACATAAAATAGTATATGGTATACATAAAGACAATTCTATAGGTAATATCATTAATACATTCCCTACTGAGTGCTGTACATGATAGCTAACATTGTTTTTGGTCATGATAAATTGTGTGTGAAATTAATATAAAGATTTTGTTAAGATATGGTTAGTATAGAAACATTTTATATATGTTTTGTAGGAATGTCTATATGAGAGTTTTGTTCATATTTTCCTTCTCATTTCAAAGCATTTTGGCGCCATTGCCATTGTTGTTTACCAAGCTTGAATTCAATGGGAATTTAATTTCCAAGCCACTGAAGGATGCTATATTTGACACCTCATTGTTGTGTTTAATTGTTTAAAACAGTTGACCTGCCACTGCAAAAATTTGCTGATCTGTTAAAATTAATTCTAGAATCATGCTTTGATTTAAGTTCTAACTGAATGTGATTACCATTATTTTTTGATTCAGTTAAAAAAAAAAACAATATATGTAAAATAATGAGGAACCTAGAATTTACATTCCCACATGCTTCTGTGGATAAATCCATAATATTAGCTGATTTCACAGTGTTTCTTGATGATGCATCTTCCACAGTGAGAATCTCATTATGTATATTGCTTTTCTTGATCTATCTTATTTATTAAGATTTGTAAAGTGTCTATGACATTTTGTTATTACGAACATCCACATGTGAATGTGCTTTTTGCTTTGTAATTCACATAGCAGCACATATTTGCTACTGCACAGATTTCTTCTTGACCAATTTATAAATATACAGTTATGATATTGTAAGAATCAGATCACATGTTAGCCAGACAAACTTAACCCTACCCAGTTCCTCTGACCTCATATTCAGATGGGATAATGGTTCAGCTTTGTATATTATATACCAAAATAGGGTTTTTATCATGGTGAAAATTCTCAAAAAGTTGTGACCCATGGTTCGGAGCAACTTTGTGAAACCTACATTAAATGTCTGGCCCCAAACGAAGTTCTGATATCCCATCTGAGGAACTGGGTAGAGTCCTGCTAATCACACATGTTAGATGTTTAAATTATGTTAGTGTATATATAGTTATATATTTTAAATTATTTCCGTCCATTAAATTATTTTTTATATATTTTTAATAAAATAGCCAATCAATGGGTGAAAAATGATATTTTTTTTTATATTGTAACATTGCAAAAGCATAATTCTAGATGGGCTTCAGATTCACACAAAAATGTTGTTGCTTTTATCAAATGTCTCTACTCCAGTGGTTTTTAGAAATAATGAAAGTTAATTGATTCAAGATAGCCAGACTTTCACATACCAACTGAAATTAGGACCCATAAACACCATTGGTTTGAAGTCACCACGATAATTCTGATAAACGGTTCTGACCTGATACATTTAAAAACCTTTGCCTTCCACCACCCTAATCCTCGAAACACAAAGTAAAAGTACAAATAAATTTCAACAGCTTTATTTAAGATGTAGCAAGGACACTTGTGCTGCTAACAATTATATTTCACTGCACAATGAACCTCACAAAACATCAACATTTTAATATTGAACCTTACTATTTTTTCTTCAATAATTTGGAGAAATTGGCATTTAAATATAACAAACCTATCTTACAAAGGAGATTGCCTATCAAAAATAAACTGTTTTCGATAAGTTCTTCAAATTGTGGATTTCAGAATGTTCTAAGTTTATTTTTGATAGGAGATATATTAAGTGTCAAAGCAATTTTGATTTTTTAAAATTGCTAGAAATATTTTCAGTTCACCTTTATAATTAATAATTCACAAAGAGTTGTCAGAAGGAACCAAAATATACACATGACTTGAAGAAAAGACAACATAAAAAAATTAAAGAAAAAAAAATCAAAATCATAGCACATTTTTGATACACAAGCATACAAGTTTTCGGTACCTTTATAGAAACAATGACAACATATTTTATAATATGAGACAAAAATTTATCAAACATTTTCTTTCCTATAATTGCTTAGGAGAGTTTTTTTTCACATCATTATCATAAACTTATTCAGAATTCTAGAAATTTATTCAGGATTTTGACATGCATTACTGCAAGTTATTCTAATTTGTGGAGCCATTTCATACTAGCAAATTTCACAAACCATCTCTTCCTTTTTATATACTATTTGTAACAGGAATTATCTTGAGTCTTAAACTCAGTAGTCAAATCAATGAGTTAAATTTACTCATGCTTCATGAAAATTAATTTAGATAATATTTTAAAAAAAAGATAAAATTTTGACAATGAGAATTGTATTCTCTGTTGAAGTCTTTCTCTTTGAAACGCATTCCATCATCCAGCATCCTTTTGCATTGAAATTGGCTCATTTCTGAAACATTTCTGAATTCAAAGCTCTCACATTAAAAATTGTATAAATTTAAAAGATATCTTCAGGACTTTTCACATATATGTTTATATTACTTTGACTAAACATTACATTATTGTTTTGAATAATGAAACATTTTAACATTATGACCTAAATATAGGGATATATCTCACACTTTTTTCTAATGCATATTCTATAACATTTTGGCATAGTGCCATAAATTTTCAAATTCTAATTTGGAATTTTCAAAATATGTTACTAAATTCTACTTGACACTATGAACAAATATGCTTTATTATTGTCTATAAGAGCTCAATCATTTTCAAAAACACTATGTTACCCTTTTAGTTGCATTTTGTTTATCTAAAAATTTACATAACTAATTCAAATATCTTGAACCATACGGTGGGAGAAATAAACAAACTTTTCCTTAAATTGGCAAAATTTCTAAGATATGTGTCTCCCATAATACTTCTAAACTGACACCATCTAGGACATTCATACATCATCACACACACCCAAGATAACGCCAAAGATGTATTTACAAAGAAAATGGGACAATCACACCAACGAAAAAAACTTAAAATACATTACACACAATATAACACATGAAAATATAGAAATTACTGAAAATAATGAGCACTATGCAAATGTGAGAATGGAATATCATTTATTTAAATTTCATAACCCATCTGTTAATATAACAGTTTGAATTTTAGCAATTTATTTCCGTCATTGATATCTAGGGATTTTACATTTTACCATCTTGAAATATTATTGTGAATGCACTTAATTTCTAGCACTAATTATTCAAATTCAGTAATCATTTAATGAGAAATAAAACATAAATTAAATCAATTCCATTCTTTATAAAACGAATACATCAAGGCTTACTCTTACAGCCAATTGTATTAATGATAGTGATAAATGAATATAGGATGTGACCCAAAGTTACAATGTGGCAAATTATAATCAAACTGACAAATCTGAACTTAAATTAAACATCTTATAAATAATAAATACAACACTCGACTGAGTCTAAACTCTCCCTCAACATCACACTCAATCTACACTCATCAGCAAAAATAAAGGATTTTCAATCTCAACCATCACTTTTCAAACTTATATACATATATACAGTAGTATTTTCTACACTGCCTGTATACTTCAGGCATTTTCCTTCAAAAAAAATCACATATCAATTTTATACATCCTGAATCTAAGTATTCATAACCTGTACACTATACAAGACCATTCAAATAAATTTACACAGAATTTTGCTGAACACCAGTTTTAACGACTAGATCCCTTTAACATGCATCATACATGCAACTTGTTTCATCAATTCAGTGAAAATTTCGTTTTTAACAGCTTTCCTGCCATTTTTACAAATATATATACAAAAAGAAACCAAGAAATATACAACAGAATATATACAAGACACCACAAACCATCCTGCTGGGTGAAATATTTCAATGAATATTTGGAAATTTCACATAAGACATAACATAATGATACAGTGAGAATTGGGAATAAATATGAAAATTGAAAATCCATGAGTGATGGAATCAATTGCAGATTGTAAATGAGAACAAGATGGTTTAAAACTAAATAATAAATATTACATATTATATACATATAAACAAGGTTACAACAACCTGTCAACATACTTAATAACTTTGCTAGAATCACATATAAAGTTGGATGTAATTATGTATGGCACCAATTTTTCAGAAAGAAAATCATTCTGAGGAATATCAATCAATTCCAAACTAAATAGTAAAAATTCCAGACAAAGAATCAAATCAGTTGATAAACAACAAACCACTACAAAGATATACGAGTTGACAATGACACCAAGTGCACTAGTTGCGCTCTATTTCATCCACAGTCATGACCCTTTGACCTTGAAGTGGTAATGGTGGCATGTTGGGTAATTGTGATTTCAGCATGTTGTTTCCAAAAAACTTGTTTAATATATTAGCATCTGGTGAATTATGTTGAGGCATCATACCTCTGTTAGGAGACAAAGGTCCATCTGCAATAAAAACATTGAAATAAGCAAATGTATACGGATGGAAGGTTTAACATAATATATTATTCAAGACTTTGTTTTCTAAAAAGATTGGTGTAAGGTTTGACTAATATTATTTAAATTAGGAAGATATATGATATTAATTTATAAGACATAGAAGTAGGCATAGGTTAAAAAGCACAAAATATATATATTACAGCATTTCTCATGCTAAAATGAAACTTTTTATTCAAATTGCCTGAGAAAATTGTTGAGTATGTTTTGAAAATATTCAATAGAATCTTATTATAAAACAATCAGATATTGAAGATGTGAAATAATCCTATTTTTCTTGAGATGCAAACTATTATAAAAGGTCTTCTATCTTTCTATTAATGCAATTTAGCATATCAATAAATTGGCCTCATAAATTACAAGTCATACTTACTTTTTTGATTGATAAAATTAGCCGGTGAGACTGCACGACCAATCTGTGTATTAGTTGGTGATACCATACCAACACTAGTATTAGCACTACTTCTAGGACTTAACATTGGTGGTACAGGTGATGGGTACACACCACGCATACCCTGAATTCTTGGATCCATCATCCGCTGTTGCTGAGCCTGGATTGCTGCTAACTGATTGATCTGGTTCAGTTGATGATTCAAAGGATTCAGTTGATTCAACTGATTCATGACATTCACTAGAAACATAATCGTGATAATTTAGTAAAGGATACATTTAGGATATGGTATCCGCATGATATACTCATATATAAAGCATAAAAGGTGAAAATCCATTGTGCTGGCCACAAGATAATTTTTCTACTCTTAAAAGCTGCAAGACTATGACATAAAGAAAAGATTTACCTCTGGCAGCATTGGTGTTATTCTGGATCATCTGTTGCATCAACAAGGCATTAGCAGCAGCTGCTGGATGAACCTGACCTGGTAATACATTGGATTGCATTGGCATTCTTCCAGTAATAGGTAAACCAAACTGTGGATTCGAGAGGCCTGGTCTAGCTACAGGTGTGGATACAGCTGGTCGTGGTTGTTGTTGGATGAGTTTATTCATATCAAGATTAGGGTTACCAGTAATAGGCCGATGACCTGATGGTGGTGTTGGATTAATATTACCACCCATCACTGGTCTGGGTTGTTGTTGAGGTGTACTAGTTGTCATTTGTGTCACTGCTTGGGGAACTTGTTGTGGCATACCATTGAATCCTAAAATATACAAATGAACTTAGTGAGTATTCTTATACTTATTCTTTACTTTGCATGGTCAAGTCTGGCATGAATTCACAAATAAAGCATCAATTAATTTTTTCAACCAAATTCAAACCAGGCTTCAACCTAACTTTTGAAAAAGAGTTGTGGGAAAACATACCCGAACTTTTAAAGATGGGTCGACCTGGACCAGTAGGTTGTGGTGTTACTGGTGTTTGTTGTGTGTTACCAGTAACAGGACGTAATACAGGTTTATTGTTAGACTGTGTTACTATCTGACCACTAATCTGTATTTTACTCTAAAATTGACAGAAAATCATCATTTTTGTGAGATAGAGGACAATGCATATTATCTGTGGCTACAATACTCAAAAAAAATCTGTTAACTTTCAAGTAATTCTTGAATGAATGATTGAAAGGATTTCATCATTCCAATGTCAAAATATTGTGAATTTCTAGCTTGAAACATTTTAAAAGGTGAGAATGACACAGCCCCAGGAAGTCTACAGAAAGTACTTTTCTTACTTATCTCAACTGTTAAATGGCAGACAGTGTCA